CCCCTTAATTATCTTTTTGCACTATTTATTTTACTACCTTTTTCTTATTTAAACAAAATAAATTAATTAAAATTAATTTTGTTGATATTAATAACTTTAATGTTAACATCCTACGCCTTGTTTTTTTTATTCATTAATGAAAGAAAAGAAAGAAAGAAGAGAGAATAATGTACTTTGGACACACGTCTTTGACAAATTATTTACATCTTTAAATTTTTAAATATTTTTTTGATCTTTTTTGACTTTATTTAAATATATATATATATATTAATTTACTTATACACCTACGATCTAGAAGATTTATATATATATAAAAAAAATTGTAATTGAGAGCTTATATAAAATAAATCCTTGATATTATCATTTATAAAAAAATAGCTAGGTTTCCATTGTAGGCAGGGGTTTCAAACGAACAGAACCGAACTATCGGAAAGTACCGTTATAATTTTCTGAACCGTAACCGTAAAACCGAACCGTTATAATAAAAAGAGAGAACCGAAATGTTATAAATCTGGTTTAAACTGGTTCAAAACCGGTTTTTTTTAAAAAAATAATTATTTTTAAAATGATTAAACCTAAATTTAAAATTTAATTTTTCTAATTATTGCATTTTGGCTTCACTAAATATCTGCACCTCATATTCCTCTCAAGTTGAAGTAGTATTTCAGAAGAATAATTATCTGCCCATGTTAGACATTAAATTTGATGAAAGAAAGAGAGAAAGAAAGAAAGAAAATTCCCGAAATAAGTATGGATACCCACATTTTTCCATTTATTTCAGCTGAACAAAATATAGCTTTTTAGTAATTTTTGGCTTTAATTGTACACGATGAAAAGTGCTTTGAAATCTCTGAAACTGCTCAAAATTACCTTTTAAAGAAGGGATTCATGATGTACACTAGCATTGCCTAGGAGGCGAATATACGGGAAGATGAGGTTTTTGATAACCTTAATTTAAAAGTTACATTATTTGATCCAAAGATACTTTAAAAAAAAAAAAATTGAAATATGACTATTTTTTTAATAACTTATTTGATTTCCTATTGGGGAAAAAAACGCCAATTTATGATTTTGGTCACCAATTTACAATATTTTAAGCTAAAAAATAGAATATTTTTTTATTAAATAAAAATCCCTATTTAGGACATTGATGTCCTTTTAACATTATTATATGTATATTAGAATTTCATTTTTTAAATATAAACATTATTTAGAGTAGTGTTTCAATGTTTTATTCAGAAAAATGTTTATGCAACCTTAAAGATTAAGGTCTGGAAATCTATTAAGCGAAATCTCGAGATTTAGGCAAATATTTATCTGGCTAAAATATTGAGTTATAACGGTTTTTAAAAACCGGTTTCGAAATCGTAAAATATTGAGTTATAACCGTTTTTAAAAACCGGTTTCGAAATCGAGCCATTGGACAACACTATATTTAGGACGATACAACCATATTTATGCTAACCACCATATTCGGTTTTCATCGATTAAGCACACAACACCAAATTTTTTATAAAAATAAATAATACTTTTTTTTAAAACCGGTTGAAAACTTTAATCTATAGAATTTTTTTTTTTTTGGTTAGATTTTTAGGTATTGGGTAACTGTAGCAATTTATTATTCGATACAATAAATGATAACAACGATATTCTTCCGAATGATGTATATAGATATAAAAAATATTTGATTGACTACCAGTTCTTCAAACTCCCGCGTCAATCTTGACCCGAGTTTTGACTAAGTATAGAATAGATCAATAACACTAGACAGAATTGAAATGCCTTTTCCCACCATTCAGAGACTTCTACCACAAAAGAGGTGATGGTGGGGGGGGGGTATGACTTAAGATAAGGGCATCATTATTATTAATGGGGTGGAGTGTAAGTTGGGTTTAAGTTTCCTATTACTTAGTGCTATACTCGATCTCATAGGAAATCTAAGCTTATCATTCTTTTCATGAAAGGAGTGACATAACTTATTCCTCAAAATACGACTACTGTTCTTAGGTTTCCCTGTAGTTGCGCTATCTTTTTGAGGAACCCTGAAGACTAAAGGAAGTTTTCAGCTCATAAATCGGTTAAGCCAATATTTGGGAAAGTCTAAGTCCACAAAAAATGGAAAGGTTTACTCATGTTAGACAAATCGCTCCAAAATAAAACTTGGTTTTCTTTATTTCTTTTAAACTGATTTGTGATTAAAGAGACATCACTGATTGCTTTAATTTTATGTAGGATTTATCTAGACTTTGATCAGATAAATTATTTCTTTATAGCAATGATTTAGCATTGGATTTAATACGCAGATGCTGGTGAAATAATCTGTTAAAGCCATCGATAGAAAATATAACCTCTCAAATTGTATGTCGTAAGTTACAGAAAAACTAATATATATATATATATATTGTCCACTGGGTTCTATACATGGTTTCCAGATCTAGGAATTTAGGTAATGCCTCAGACTTCAATACAGTGGAATAGCAAATGAAGATGTTTGGGATGAAGAATCTAAACAGCTTTACCAGAAGTTCAGTTTAGGTAAATAACAACACGCATAATAATGATAATAAAAAACAGCTGTAAAAATATGGTTTCACTTTTCACTCAGATAACAAACTTATGAAATGAAATGAACGCGTGCGCAATTAAATATTTTAAATTGTAATCCTTAAAAAGGGGGTATTCATTTTATTCCATGATCTCATTTTATACCCCCTGAATAATAATAAAATTTTATTCTAATGTGATCCGTTGTACCACGGTATTATTTAACCCCGATTTTAAAAATGAATATCAATAGATATATTTCAAGCTTATTTCTAAGCCCTCATTAACTATCGCGATTATTATAATTTATATTTTTATATTTTTATATTCTTAGATTTATTAATTAATAAGGTAAAATATATAAAAATATTTTTTCTTAAAATGCATAAGATGATCTGTATACTATTTTCCTTTCAATATCGAAAATTTTTTAATTTTAATTTACACGCTATACTTATTATAAAAATATAATATAAATCTGGCTTATATATATATATTAAATAATGGGATTTTTGCGTTATTTTTAATTGCGAAAGCTAAAAAAAAATTATTCTTTCTTTAAACAACTGAAAAGCCCCTAAAAAATAAGAATGATGAAAAGAAAGATGAAAAATTAAAAACTAATGATACTAAGGAAATAATAATATTGTAAATTATTTTATTGATGGAGATATCTTGATACCCCTAGAACCTGACTAATTTTGGATATCCCTGGAACCAAGATTTTGCCCAAACTCTAGACAGTTGGCTTCAATTTATCAAGATTTTTCTTTAAAAAAAAACTTTTCTAAGGGGTAGCTAACAGAAATTTGATTTGAGAAACTCCAAAGGTTATTCTAATTCATCGAGAGCCCCCAAATTAGATAAGGTTATACTGGAGTTGATTTATAATTCAACTTATGGGGAGGGATGGTGATGTTAAACGGCGAACTTAATATTTTAGTCAGAAGTATACTGCCGAAGTCTTGAGATTATTCTAATAGATGCCCAAACCTCTGTTCCATCTTTGAGAAAAATCTACAGGGCTTACGTAATATTTTTTCTGGATAAAATATTGATATAGCCGTTCTTAAATATCGGCTTAAATCGAGCCGTTTAGCAACACTAGGGAGTGGAGTACCACTTAATTAAAAATATCGAGTGAAGTATATTAAAGTTTCTGCTTTATAATTCGGTTCAAACCCTAACCACTCATCAATTTTAACTCTTTCGAGTAAAGTTTTCTGCTCTTAGAGCATCGAATTCCTGCAACAGAATATTTGAATAACACTGATTTATATTGTTACACCTTCAGTATACTAAAAAAATTGATTCCAATTTCAAAACTCAACAAATAAAAAAAAAAGAAGATTATCTTTATACATAAATTAACTTAAAATACCGATTCTTGTTCATTTATATTTGTGAAAAGTGACCCTAACCTGTAATTGTAAATTAGACTGCCAACCTCTTCCAAGGTAGTCCTTCTCCAAAATATTTCTAAGTGTCATAACACCAAATTTAAGCTAACATATTTCTTCCCGGGATTTGTATAATATTAGATATTTGGTCAGAACATGATTTAGGCTGAAGGAGGGATCGTTAATAATAAACAAAGCGTATTTTATATTTTGGCCATCTTTATTTAACAGTTTAAAACTACATCCATTCTTTCTCTTCCGGTTTCCTCTTTTTTTAGTCACAATGTTCCACCCAATGACGTCATATATTACTTAGTTTATGACAATTCATTCGTCCATATGCTTCGTGTATACGTCATTCTTTTATAATCATCCCTATTCAACTTAATGTAAATACTTTTATAATGAGATTTATATCGGAGATTCAACAGCTGATTCAAAAATTAATTTTTATGAGATCCATTTTTTTTCTTTATTAATTATTAATTTTATCTATTTTTAAAAAAATCGATCAGCTGTTAAATCGTGACTCAGTTTTGAAATCCGGGTAATTCCGGGCCCGAAAAACGGTTCGGAGTGGTGCAATTTTCTTTTCTAATTTATAACGGGTTTACAATATTCCGGTTACAATAACGTGGCATTTGGTTGAGATCTCGGATATTGCAAACCCCGGTTATTACAAAAACCGGAAACCGAGAAACCGGATATACAGTTAAAATAATATTTACACTATGAAAAGTAAAAACTTATGCTAAATATACTGTCCGTGTTATTTATAGTATTAAATATAATTTATTACACATGACTACTAAGATGACACCACTCATATTCATATGTAAATAATTTTCGCTAATGATCGATTAATTACATCATAATTTATTTTGAAAAACGAAAACAAAAATTTCAAAAAATAAAAATCAAAGGAAAAAAATAAATAAAAATTTACACTGAAGAAATATTTTAACATATTATAATAATAATATATTATTTTTTGAATTATTATTTTATAGTTTATAAATTATTTCTAATTATTATTTAGACAAATCGTTATAATATATAAAATTATTATAAAAATATTGATATTAAGTGTACAAGTTTGTTTAATAATGATATTAAGGGTATAAGTTTGTTTGTATCATCATATAAATAAATAAATATATATATATATAAATGAAATTGATAATAATTTTCCATTTAATGAGTATGTATTTATGTATATAGTTTTAATGTTAAAATATGAGAAAAAAATTCCTACCTTTTGGGAGAATGGAGGAGTGATGGGGGGAGGGGGTAAAGATTGGATTCCATTTTTCATTGTTTAATTTTTCATTTTATCCCAGAAAATCCGGGGTGCTCAATTTCTTGAAGACGTAAGATGGGTACCAATTGGATTTCGTGCCGCCCATGTCGAACCTCTTTCCCAGGAAGTCGTGAGTAAACGGGATCCTCTTGATGTAGTTGCTGTAGGAGTAGTAAGGAAATTTGTAACGCTTTATGTTGCTGGCTCCAAGGAATCTTTTGTTAGCCATCCTACCTTCCCTTCTACCGGTAGACGCGTAACCCAAAAATCTTTTGTCTTCCTTTAACTCCTCTAAGATTTCGGGATTCGATTCCAAGTAAGCTAGCAAAGATTCGTCCTCGTCTAAGACATTGTACGGGCTGTTGGAGGATATTCTTGGTCCTAAGTACAATCTACCTAATGCATAATAGTTTGTTTTTTAAAATTTTGTGATTTTTTATTTAAAAAACTTATTCATTTTATTTTATTTTTCCTTTTCTGTGTTATTTTTAAATTAAATAAATGAAATAAAGAAAGAAATAAAGAAAGAAAGAAAGAAAACATTTTGAAATAATAGAAAAGAATAAAAATACAGAAAAAGAAACACGAAGCTTGAGATGAGAAAAGGTAGGTTACAATTAGAATTTATTTTAAAAAAAATCTTAATGTCAAGTTGGCATTTTGCATTCTATGGCATCAAAAAAGTTGAGTATATATATATCCAATTACATTAATACTAATCTAGACTGACGATTCGTATATTAAAATTGACATACGTCAAAGTCAGCTATAATTGACATCATTGACACTGTGAAATATAATTACACCTTCTAATGCATTTTATTGAATGAATCACCTATTTAGATCAGAACGGATATTTTTCCTTATTTCTATTTACCATCTCCCCCCCCCCCCCACTAGGAAAATAATATTTATTGTAAAACTTTATAGGTTTTTTTTTAAAATGTATTTTTCATGAAATTCTTAAATATAAAAAAAAATCATTGCTTTGCCATAGCACGTTTGGCTAAGAGGTCGAAACATTGAAGCAAAGTGCAGGCAAAACGCCTGTTCAATCCCAGCTTAGGAAATTTTGATCTTACGGATGGTCTTCTAGGCCGAGAAGGCAAAGGCAGATAATGGGGGGTGGTATGAAACTTATGATCCATATATAAGGATCTTATTGCATTTTAGTAGCCATACATATCACTATATCCCTTTCCTTACTTTCTCATATTGACTACTAGGGTTTAGTAGATAGTATAGTAAAATAAGTAAAAATGTAAACAGTGGAAAGATGGTAAAATTAGATATAATATTTAGTCACTGATATTTATGTTTTGCAGAGTTGTTAAAGGAAGTATCTAGATCCTGTATCTAGAAATAAAAATGTGGTATCTGTGTCTGTATCTAGATAGATTTTTGATTAAAATATCGGTATCTAAATATTATTTTAGACGATGTATCTGTATCTAGATCCATTTAAAAAGTATCTTTGTTTAAGCACTTCTACCTAGAAGGGGGTGATACGGCAAAATATAGTCATTTTAAATCAATGAGGAATAGAAGAGGGGTGGGGCATATAGGTATGGGGAGCCATGGTTTTGCTCGCTACTAAACCTTAGAGGGTATAGACAGAAACCTGATTAGGTTCACAAGGTTTCATGAAAAGGAATAGTAAGGATTCTGACTAAAAGAAAAGGGGATCGAGACTTTATCTTTATTTTTTGGCTATTTGGAGACAATTAGCAAAATTTTTCCAGAGAATTATAGTAGAAAACTCTTGGGGAAACTAATAACTTTGATTTAGAATTCAAATTTTCCCGGGAATTTTGTACGTTGTAATTGATCGTTTTTTTCTCTTTAAACCGAGATGCTGTGAAACACTGGTTACATAACAACGAATAAATGGTAAAAGTTTTCACTTTTGTGATGAACAAAAGATTACTTCGCCCCTTCCGCCAAGTTCATTTATAAACTTATACTACTCTATTAAAATATATTACCCAAAATATTTAATTTTTATTACATTTGAATTTCCAAAATTCTGGCTAAGATTGCCAAAACTCACACATGTTTAAATCCCCATTGATCCTTAAAACTAAATTCCAATCAGATTTGTTAAAATACAATTTGTAAGGATAAAAATTTATTTTTTTATTTTATTTTTTGAAAAGATATGCAAAAATTCAAAAATTCAAAAAAAAAATAAAATAATTAAAGTATTATATAATTATAAAAAATAAAATTAATTTTATTTCTATCTAAATATTACAT